TTCTCTCCTAGTACACCCTTTGTCCCCCAAGAGTTGTTCCCTTCACTGTCTTAGGACGTGGAAAGACTCCTCTTCTACCAGAACTTGATCTTCACCACCTTTTGGAGATTTAATCATAGTTGCCAAAGCCATGTACCAGATTGGCCTTAGAATATCACATGTTTACAGCCCTGTCTTAGGGCCTTGGCTTTTCCTACCTTCTGCCACCCTTCCTTGCTTGCAAGGTTATCTTCTCAAGGCTGGAATGCACTTTCCAAGGCTCCTTTTAAAGATTTCCTAAATCAGACAGGCAAGATGCTAGATGCTCTGTTATCTTTGAAATGTGACACCCTTTTTAGAGGCTCAGTATACCTTCTAGGCTGCTGTTAAATGTGTTAGGGTCCAATTTGTGGTAAATCTCTTTGTAAGAGAACCCCCTCTTTAAGCCCTGTTGCTTTATCATGCTAGTTCTCCTTCTAAGAGAGGGTCTACTTTGGGGAAGTAAAGAAGGGCTGGGTGGGAGGCACAGCTCGCCTAATTGCCAGAGGAAGACAGAAGCAAATTCCATGATGTTTTACTCCATGCATTTCAGAAAGAGAGAAAGATCAGCAAGGGTCTCTTGCACTGCATTTCCGTCTTGCTCAGTCTGCAGCCAGGAATAACTAGTCAGGGTGTGGACATACATCTCCTAAAGGAGGAGCTGTTGAGCTCCACTGGTCAGAACGTAATGTTTCCATGTTAAGGGCTTCATGTAATCATGATTATACTTGACTATTCCCAAGTATCCTTGAAGGGAGCTGTGTTTGTTTGTTTTGTAAAGAACTGGGGAGGACAGCATCATTGGTCTCAGTCTTACAGGACCAGGTAGATGAAGTAGGGCAAGGGGGAACTGCAGATGCCTGTGTCCTACTGAGAAAGAGAAAGCCAAGCCCTTGGACCTTTGCTGAATCCCTTCATGGGGCTGCAGGGCAGTGATCTATGGCCCCTGACTGGCGACTGGTTATTCATACACGTATAGCACTCTTGCATGGTAGAACAGAGAGGGAGACCGAGAACAAGGCAGTTCATATTCTGAGGTATGTATCCTCTCTTTGGTTCTCATACACAAATGATGATCTCTTTTCCGGAGCCAATGTCACTTCTTGGGGTTTAGCCCAACAATATGGCTCTTGCCTTGTTCTAACAGAAAAGTCTTTAAGTTGCTCCTGTTAGTATTATCCATCCCTAATACATGTTCAGTTTTTGACAGTGAGGCAGACTAACCAGGAGAAATTTTATGAGTGCAGGGAATTGAACCTGTTGCTTTCAGTAACCCAGCTTTGGCTCTGTCCCCATCCTACACTTGCCACAGAGCATTACAGTGCTTGATTATTTAGAGTTCCTACATGTGAGAGGAAGAAACTTCTCTGCTCAAGAATAGGCTCTGAAGGTTTGCTTCAGGTTACAGGGATGCTGGATAAGGACACTGTCCTTGTGCCTTTTACTGGAGATGCCCCTGTTTCTCTGTCCCCCTATTTTGTTCTCACAGTGGTGTGCTCTGTACCATTATAGCTAGACAAGGCTCTGAGCCACTAGAGCAGGCAGAGAAGGGACACTGGGTTGCCAGCTCAATGGTCCTTCTAAATGGAGTAAAAGAATTCAGTGGCCTAGTTTGGCCATTCTGTGATGAGAAGCCAAGACCAGGTTGAAAAGCACTGAATGTGGTGGTCTATGGTAGTGATGACCCCAAATAAAGGGATCATCTCTGTGGAAATAACTTTTCCCACTTTGATTTCCTTCCAGCTTCACATGGCCAGGCCAAAAGAATAAGTAGGGTTGGGTCTGGGAGGAGGGATCTGAAGGAGAAAAATGCCTCCCTGATCAAAAGGATGTACATTTCCTTAGATTTCTTATGTATAATGTCAATAAATGCCTCTCATCTTGACAAGGGACTAGATTCATCTTGCCTTGAGACAGGTGGTAGTTATCAATGAGTCAAACCACAGTGCCTGCCTTTGGAGCTTCCCTTTTGTTTAGGGTACCTTTTCTCTGAGATGCTATACTCATTTGTTGGGAAGGTGAAAGTTTTAGAAGGTGGGACTGTATGGTCCAATGCTACCCATAACAAACATTCAATACACACACACACACAACAAAACCTTATAGCAACTAAACCACACAGAAACACCCTACATCCCAGGGATAATGCTCTAAATAGAAGGAAGGAATCATTACCATCCTTGTGCTACCTCTGCCTCACTCAGCAAGCTGCCCAGTGCTTACTACACAGAAAGTAGCCAACTGTCCCCTGGAAATCTCTATTCTTTTTTTCCTGGAACTTAGGCTATTCTGGGAGCTGATTGAGCCTTGTGCCTCAGGCTGTCCTGGGTCGGTTGCTGGAGAACTGGGAAATAGACATTAGAAAAACATGGAGCAGATAGAGAGTATGGATGGGTGTGTGATCTTGGTCTAAGCTGGATCCTGAAGAGGTTAAGACAAACAACAACAACAACAACAAGAAAAATCCTACTCATACTGAGGATTGAGTAAAAATTTCAATTATTGTCCTCTCACATACCTGCTGTCCACATTTGATTCTAACATAAGTGGTTAAGCTTTCTTGGGGACTGTTCGGCTGGGGCTCTTGCATGAAGGCGGTGTCTGTTGCATGGTCCTTGAAAGAGAGGCTTTCTTCTTCTGAAGGTGGACTGTTGGGCTGGCCTGGAAGGGGCACTTTTTGGAATTCTGGAAGAAACATCTATGTGTATATATATTAATATATTAAGTGGGGAAGGGTGGGTTGGCAGAGGTTTGAGGGAGGTGGGGACTGGGTATAGGAACAGGCAGTCACCGCTTCTGGAACGTGGGCCCATTGTCTTCCTTCTGTATGGTGTTGGGTTTATGTACACAGCATAACACTTCCATGTTCATTCATGTACCTGTCTGGGTGCTTGGTGCATGGAGCCTAGTATCCTCAGATGGCATTAAAGTCAAGAACTAGAACCTGGGTGCTGTGCCTTTCTTACCCTTATTCAGAGGCTTTCTCTCATCCCTTCTGTGCCCCCCTACGTTGCCAGCCAACATGTCGTGATTTGTGTGTAAAATGTAGTATGTTTTGGATGGCACACTAAATTGAACAGTTTCTTCCCTGAGGCCAGCTGCTGAACTTCTTCCCTGACTTGAAGCTAAGGGGAGGTGGGCCCATGAAAGCCCTTCTGGAGTTTCTCTAGCCTTGTCTCTGTTTCAGGTAGGTGTGTACCCATGCCTAGGCAAACAGCTCTGTCCTCTTCTGTTGAGAATTCTCGAGGAGGAGAAGATGGCACAATTGCACAGTCACTAGTGTGGCTCACAACCATGTCAGGTAGCTCTGAGGGGAATCCCTCCTGCACATCACCATGTTTTTTCCAAGGAGGAGATAAATGGCTCTAAGCTTATGTGAGCCTCAGTGGTTAAGACCTTTCCTTGAGGAAAATGGCCATACATGCCCTTCTGAATGCAGAGTTTGACACCTTGGCTAGAGTATTATTATCAAGATGCCCCTTGGAGTCACCTGTGGATTAACCCAGAAAGGTGAGTTTTGAAGTGCTGGGTTGCTCTGACTGTCTTCCAGTTGCTTCTCTTCTAATTCAGTCTCATTTGTTGACTTTTAAACAAAAGCACTGCATAATCCATGGCAAATGTACTCACTGCTCTAATTACTGAGCACAGTCACATAATGCACTAATCATACCTTATAGGTGAGAAACTGAAGCTCATAGACATATAATTTTCCTAAGAGCATGTAGCTAATAAGTGGCAGAGTCAGGATTCAAACTCAGAGCCCTTTTCTGAAATCCCCAAGAATATTCAGCAGCAGAGTCCTTCCTTCCCCTTGGCAGCTCAATTTCCACCCTGAGGTTCAGAGCCTTAACCTGCCTAACCTATGAAGATTTGAAAAACAGATAGTCTAAGAAAGAGTGCTAGAATGACTTCCTTAGATGTGTGGGCCCTAAATAACCCCTGAGCCTTAAGGAGATAGATGAGGTCCTGAATTACTGCCCTTAGTGAGAGACATGCCCACTGGGTAGAGATGGGCCCTGCTCATGGGGCACCGAGTGGAGAATGACTGAGCAGGTGAGTAATGACTACCTGGCTGGACCCTCAGTCTGGTGGGATGATCTTGACACTCCACGTTCATCAGGCTCCCCTAGGCCTACAGGTCCAACTGCACAGATGTGCTGTGCTTCCAGACCATGTGGGGAGGTGTGCCTAGCCACTGTCCTCCTCTAGGAAAAGAATATGCAGTGGGAGCTATTTAGTTTAACTCAGAAACTAAATATTTGTGCCTGGCTTAGGGCTCATGGCCGTTGAACTCCAGATCTCTACATTGCCCACGTGTCCCTTCTTTATTCTCGTGAAGATTACTCTTAGCTGGCTTCACTGACTTTTAAGTTTGATTTGTTGAACTCATAGCATATTCTGTCAACAGTTATTTACTTTAACTTTCTACCTTTTTATTTCTTACCATTTGTTTTTCCTAATATGTACTGTAGGTTGATTTCTCTCTCTCTCTATTTATTTATTTATTTTTAAGTTTTTGCTATAGGACACGTGCACTTCCCAGGGAGAGAGAGGGAGAGAGAAGGTGAGAAATCACCCCCCAGGGGTGAAAGCCAGAACACAATCCCTTCTTCTCCAGTCTCCTCTCAGGATTTTGAACACATGCACACACATGCCCAATGTGATTTTCAAGCTGCTGAGTCCAGAACTCGAACCACATAGCTTGCCATGTGAGATCCAGTGCCTTAAGCTCCACACCACCTGCTGGCCCTATAATTTCTGTTTTTTTAAGCATAACTTCAAACTTTATTTCTAGCAAAACTTCTAAGTAATGCACATTTGTGAATAGAACACCAGTGAAGAATTCTTTTTTTGGAGCAGAGGTAATTATCTGCATTTTTTTCCTCTTCTCCAGTTATCTCTGCAATTATCTTTTGAGCTGTGAACTTAGGTACCTCATTTCTCCCTTAGATATATACTTGCTTCTAAAGTCTAAATGCAAGGAAAAATGTACAGTATCATTATAAAACTCATAGATCTGGGTTATCCAGTAGATCATATTACCAACATTTTACTTTCTTCTCCAAAATATACCTCTTACCACACACACATACAGACACAAGTAACAATAAGAGCAGCTTTAGGTACAGGGCAGTTCAATTCCTGGACAGTCAAAACCTTCTTTCCTCACACACTTGTTATTTCTGAAGAGTGACATATAGATCCCTGGAGTCCACCTTCTCCAACCTCTTGACATCACTGGAAATAGGACTGTAGTGCACCAGGAGAAAATCCAACCAGCTTTCCAAGCTATGGGAAAGACCATGAACCATCCAGAAACATCTCATAACAGGAGCCCATAGTCAGAATACGATGCAGCTCTCCAGCCATCTCTGACCTTATGAACCTAATTCACGTTAGACAAACTAGGGTTTCTAGAGGATTTCCCTCATGTTTTATGACTCATACGATTCTGGAAGATGGCCTCACTAGATCTTTGGAGTGGAGGTATTCATACTTCTCTCAGTCATTACTAAAACCAAGAAGTAGAACCCCAGAGGATCACAAAATTAGGAACTTGATCCCCTTTAAAAGAAATTTACCAGTTCAGAGTCCAGTTGCAGAAATCTTCATACTTTTGATATTTTTGTGAAGGGAGCAGATGGTTTCATGCGTGGCCCTAAGTCCCTAGAGATGCTCAACGAGAAATCTACTGTGCAGTCACCTGCAGAAATATGCCACCACTGCCACAGGCTGCATTGTTAGCCAGACAATTCCATTGCAATGGGATTTATGACCTGATTTTTGACCCCCTGCCACCCTGTTGGGATCACAGTTCTGACCCCTTTATGGCAGTAGTGCTTTGGGACGACCTGAACTTGTGGATCGAGATCCAGAAGTAGGCTTCTCAACCTGATCAAGATATCTGCATGATAAAGGACAGAGAAAGTGATGTTTCTAATGTAGGAGGCTTTCCAGATACACAACTGTACCCCAGGATTTCTGGGGTTTATAGACAGTACTGGTCATTGGTTCATGACCCTGCTTTTCTACTTAATTATTTCTATCTTCAAGAAATGGGTACACCTGTTCCCCAGCCCAGGACTCAGCTTTCCAATAACTGAAAATCCAGTATATTCTTTCTCCTATCCTGGCCTTACACCAAGATACTTCAGCATCTTAGCACAAGCATAGGCAGCCTCTTCCTTGTTTCTACATTTCCATGATGCTGATGTTGGTTGAGGCCAATAACACTTGTAGGTGTGATGTGGCAATATAATCAATAGCTCCAAGGTTTGGAGGTACCATTTGAAAGAATCCCCTCAGAAATGTCTCTCTAGGGACCAGCAGTTAGTATAATGGCTATGTAGCTGGACTCCCACGTAGTCGACTACGATTCGAGTCCTGGACCCAGTGGCTTAAACTCACGCCGGGCACGTGTGCATGCACGCCCAAGATCCCAAGAGGAGAATGGAGGAGAAGGGATTGCGGTGTGGCCATCTCCCCTGGGGGATGATTTCTCACTTTTTGTCTCTCTGTCTCTCCTTTCTGGAGAGTGTATGCACCCTATAGCAAAAACAAACAAAACCTCTGTTAAAAAAAAAAAAATGGTGAACCTGGGAGCTTAGCCCACACATTGAGGGCAGGCCATACTTTTCAGATATTTTTGGCTTCAGAAAATGCTCTATTCCATCGGCAAAACTCTGAGACCAGCAGAGAAATTTCAGCTGTGTTTGGGTTGACTGAGGAAAAACACTGCAAGCTACAGGTAGGTACCTGTGTGCAGCAAAGGCCAGCTAAAGCCTAGAGCCAAGAGAGGGAGCCGAACTCAGGTGCTCCTGCTCCACCTAAATGCCATCCCATGTGCCATCACATCTCATCCATTTGAAATAGATTATTACATGTAGAAACTTCTTGGAACCTCACAACTGAAATATAAGGTCATTCTACTCTGTTATCTTGGGTGTTTGATTTTGTGTTTATTGCATATAGGGTTCATTTATATTAGGAGAAAGAAGTCACACAGTAATTTAAATAATTTCTTTTTTTAAATAGAGATTTTTGCTATAGTGCGCATGCACTCACTGGAGAGATGGAAAGTGAGAAATCACCCTCTGGTGGGGGGGTGGTGGTGACCACACTGCAATCCCATCTCCTCTAGTCACCTCTTGGGATCTTAGACACACATGCATATGCTCCAGATGTGAGTTTTAAGCTGCTGGGTCCAGGACTTGAATTGTGGTCAACTATATGGGAGTTCAGTGACATAACCATTCCGCCATCTGCTGGTCCGTTTGAATACTTGCTATCTGTAATATAAAAAACTGTTGGTCCAGCACGTAGCCTAGTGATTAAGGGAGCCAGATCCCACATGGCCAAGTGTCCTGGCACTTGGAGAGTTGAATCCCAGCCCTAGCAGCTTGAAAAACACATCAGGCATATGTGTGCATGTGTCCCCAACAGGTAGAGAAATGGAAGAGGAGGGTTGTAGCATGACCATGTCCCACTGGAGAGAGAGAGAGAGTATGTGTGTGTGTGTGTGTGTGTATATATATATATATATATATAGAGAGAGAGAGAGAGAGAGAAGAGAGAGACCTCGCCAGATACACACATAGTAATTTAAAAAATAAAAAAAAAAAACTGGCACCAGCAGGTGGTGTGGTGGTTAAGGACACTGAACTCCCACATGGCTGACTATGATTTAAATCCCAGACCTGGTGGCTTGCTTTCTCACTTTCCCTTTCTCTCTCTCTCTGATCAAATTAAAATAATAATAATGATAATAAAGTTAAATACTTCTTTTTTTAAAAGTCTGTTAATTATTGGGTCATTGGGAAAGTCATGATGCATTTTTTTGTTTTCCTATGCAAAAATGTGTCAGACTTCCCCAGCAACGCAATATAATAGGGTTGCAATAATGAGGGACTGGCTAAAAAAACTCACAATCAAGAAACAGTAAAGATA